TACCAAATAGTTTCTCTGATGTGAAAAACTAAAATGTAAATAAGGTTCAAACTGTATAATTGAAATAGGTCTAAAGGAGTAGTAGAAGTGGGAAGGGTAGGGGAAAAGAAATAAGGAAAAAGAAAAAATATGAGAAAAGGGAAAAATGGAAACAAAGTCTTTGTAAATAGGGAAGGGAGGAGGGGGTGAAGGGAGGGAAAGAGTATAGGGAAAAATAAGAACCAAGACCTGTCATGTAAAGGTACAAGACCTCAATGATGAATGTAACTGTACTCTAAGTACCAATAGACTTAATGAAAAAAAATTAGTATTAAGCATCACTCAGAAAGCAAAAGATTTTACATTTAAGTAACTTCTAAGTCAGGTAGAGTTAAGAGCAAACAGACTTGAAAATGGCATGAGAACACAAGGAAACGCTGCTACACAAGCTGCTGCAATGTGTAGTTTCTGAGAATTTGGCTGCCTCAAAAGAAAACCTCAGTAATGCAGAAATAACCTAATAATGCTTCCACTCCATATATAGAAACTTTTGGGGAAAAACAATAGCTGTTGAACATTTTTTCATGATCTTTCAAATGATCATCCACTGCTTAAATTACTTCCATATTTTCTTTAAATGCGTATGTGGAACATGGTTTAACATTCACCTGATACTCCAGGTTACATTGATATATTAGTTATTATAAGAGGCTGAGAGCATTTATACTCCTTCCAAAGACAGTCCTTTTGCTGTGATACTTCTGGGGCTTTTTTTTCTCTATTTCCCAATCTTCCATTGGTTATTAGCTGTCATCTTTCATTGCTATTCATGTGCAAACTGTAGAAACAAACCTCAGGTGCTTACATTTTTGCAAACATTTTAATGGTTGTAGCTCCAATGAGCTGCATCTTATAGAAATGGGACATGATAATAAAAAGTGGCTGTTGTCCAGCCTGAAATACAATTTGGCTCTCTAGTTTCATACACTACTAGGAAGACACGTGTTTATTTTATAAAGTTCAAACTTGTTTTGTTTCAAATCTTCGTGCAATACTACCACCCCAGAAAGCCAATTTTTTTTCTTTCTTTCTTGTTTTACCTTGTTTTCAGAGGAACTTGAAAGAATAAAAACTTTTAGAAGCACAAGTGACTACTGCACTGTAAGTGTGAGTTTAGATTCTCTAAGAGAATGATTGTTATGGTTTGGATTTCAATGTCCCCAAAGGCCCATATACTAAGGATTTGGTCACCAGCCTGTTGGTCAACTATTGGAAGGTGGTGGTATCTTCAGCAGGCAGAGCCTAGTGGAAGGAAATGAGGTCATTGGGGGGGTGGGTCCTTGAGGGGACCTTGGGACCTCTGGCCCCTTATCTTGTCTGTTTGCTTGCTAGTTGCCCTGAGATGAGGAGCTTCTGCTACCATGGACTCCCTGCCATGCGGTTACAGGCCCAAAGACAATAATGCCAAGTGACCAAACTTCTAAAACTGAGCCAAAATAAACCTTTCCTCCTTTTAAGTAAACAATGCCGGTATTTCATCAGAGCAATGCAAAACTGACTAAAGCACTATCATCACAAGAAATAAAATGGATTTAAAAGGAGGAACCTTCAATTCATTAAGTTATGTTTACTTTCTTTACCAAGTTATTTCCTCTAAGGTATTATTTTTATTTTTATTTTTTTTTTGCTTACAGAACTGTAGGGAAACTATTCATCCAGTGAGTGCATTTAATTTATTTCAAGTGACCTTTTCTGAATAGTATAATTAACTGTCCTGTAGCTTTCCAGGTCCTAGATACTTACTTTTACAAAGCTGCAAATACTTTGGGTCACTCTACAAGATTCAGGGAGGGATACCTCACAAAAGTCAATACTAAAGCACAATGGACCTTGATGGTTTTGAGGATACATCACCCCAAATATGACACTTGGGCCTTTGAGACCATAGCAGAAGCACGAAGGTCTCATTGAGCTTTCCTTTTCTCCCTCTCCCCAAGTGGCCCTACCACCTAGATGACCTCTATCATAAAAACCTCTGTGTTTGTCAGTTTCCATTGTTGTGGGAAAATAGCCAAGACAATCAGTTGAAAGGCAACAAGATTTATTTTGGTGATGGTTCCAGTTCATGGGCATGTACGTGGCTTCAGTGTTTCTGGGCCTGTGGTGAGGCAGAACAGCATGGCCCAAAGTGCATGGTGGCTCAAAAGTGAGCAGATCATGATGGCTGTGAGGCACACAGGGTAGAAAGGGTGGGTGAGGGCCCTGACATACTCCTCAAAAGTATGTCACTTCCTCCAGATAGGCCTCACTTTCTAAAGGTTCCACTACCTCTCCCCATATACCAAATCCAATGGCCAAAAGCACACGGCCTTTAAAGAAGGAACATCTCATAACCAAACATAACACTCTCATTCCACAGAGGATCCTTCCTCTTACTCAGAAGAAGACAATATATCCTTATCTCTGATCACAGAAGAACACAAAGAAAAACCTGAGCAAAAGCCTCTCTTGCTAAGTTTCCCCCAGTTTATCACTGTTCAACCACACCCTCTTTGTCCATTCACACTTCTGCGTGATTGTCCAATCTCCATCAGGCTTGAGTTTAAGAATGCGCAGGTGTTACAGGGAGGTAGACTTTGTGGAGATGAGCAGGGGATCAAGGGATGGTGAGTGATGGGAGGGAGGAAAGGGAAAAGGAAGAAAAAACATCAAGATGCAATATGTATCTGTATCAATACCCTATGGTGAATGTATTTATTATGTATTGCAAAAAGTACTAGTAAAAAAGAATACACAGGCTTTCCTGCTTCTTTGAGTCTTCATTTCTGAAGGCTTCCACATTACATAAAACACAATAGATAAAAGTTCTATGCTTTTTTTCTTGTTAACCATTCTGTTAAGTTAACCTTTTTGCTATTGCTTAGCAATGGTGAGGAAAGATAATACTTTTTCTCCCCTACACCATCAACCTTGACCCCATCCAGCTAGGAGAAAGATTTGACCATGATTCCATGTAAGTCCTGGACCTTCTCTGTCAAGGTGTGCAACGTGAATGTACCTAGTCAGCAGGAGGAACTTACTTTGCATTCACTTTTAACTCTACAAAATGAATAATAACAGTAATTTTTTATTTAAAAGATAAATATTTCAAATGGTTTATGTAGTATTTGGATTGTTGAAGCTCAGACCTTTACATGGGTCTCAAGGCTCAAGGATTATCAAGTTTTTTACAATCTGCTGGGGGTCTAGCTCACTGGTAATGTGCGTAGAAGGCCCTGGACTCAAGACCCAGAGAAAAAGTAAGGGAGGGAGGGAAGGTTGAAGAAAGGAAGGAAGGAAATCAAATTATAACAGAACCAGACTGAGAAGGAACCAATTGTATGTAAAGTCTTTTTAATGCTAGACATATATAGTGTTTGGCAGTTACAGGCATCCAGCTAGTCCCTTAAAAGAAGAGATAAGAAAAATATAGTCTTTGACTTCAAGAAATAAAGTATAGCAAAAACATAAACATAAAATAAAATGTAAAGGCTGTGTAATATGTGCAAGGTTAGGTTAGTGGTGGTGTAAATATGTTACCTCTTACTGCGTGGGTGACACAAGACATCATAGAACTATAGATTTTTCATCTAGATTCTGATAAACAAGTAGTTCACAGCCAAATATGCAGAAACACCTTATATGTAGAAACTAGTGCGTCTCAGAAAAAGAGGATGGCATAAACAAAGCATCAAATCAAGTAGTATGGGGGAACCTGAAAGTGATTGCTATGGCTAATGAGGAGGATATGTGTAGGAAACCGGAGGTAAATGAGTCTGTAGTAATTAGGAAGAAGTCAAATCAGGGAAGGCCTTCTATTTTATTCTGAGGATTTCTCTCCTACAGTGAAGAGTCACAGAAGCATGTTAAGCAGAGGAGAAACACAATACCTCTAGGTGGCATAATACTGTTTTGTTTATTCTTACAGCAAAAGGCAGTTAACTGCTATTTCTTGGTAGAGATAATGTTTCAGACAGATGAACAGCTGTCACTTAGATATTTCAATGCGACAGGAACAGCAACCACATTTTAGCCCTTCCTTTACCTTTTCACTTTTGTTTACTTAAAAAGTGACAATCATATAAATCCTTGGAGTACTATGGTACATTGGAAAAACCTAGTCAATAACTAAGTTGAGTCTAAGAAGCCCCAATAGTTTCTGCATCTGAGAACCTCAGAGCTAGCTTTCCAATCAGCCCCACACATCTTTCACTGATTTTGAAAGGAACCAACTCCAGGACTCTAAATGCAATTTCAATGAGTTTTACCTTTTTACCAATATCAATTTTATCACACACTCTCCCCAAGTCATCTCAAGCGACCATCTAAGAAAAACAGTCTATTTACAATGCAAATAAGACCTCAAGTCACCCACGTAGTATTCCTGGACAGGTGGCCCAAAAGCTTTGCTCTATAAAAAGTCCCGGAGCACCCCACCCTGCAAGGGTACCATGCAGAACGGACAGAAGCAGAGGTAGGCAAAGCTGTGGTCAGTTGAACAAACAAAAGGAGCAGGAGCGATGGCAAAGGTCCAGCCCAAAACTCAATCCACTGCATCATTTACAACAAGTGAGAAGGTTTACATGAAAAGGCTGCCAAGCCCAATCCATTAACCAAAAACTCTTAGTTACTACACAAAACCTAATTGTAAAACCAGAACAACAATCATGACAATCTTACAAGATTGTAGTAAGAAATTAAACACATAACACACTCAAAGTGCTCAGAAGGTATCTGGGCATACGGTGTCCTTTCCATAAATTATAGTACCATCGTCATTATTATATCTGACAGATGGCGAGCACTCGATGAATTATACCATCATTATTTTTATATCTCATAACTTACCTCTTTCCAACTACTCCAAATTTTAAACCTCAAACATATTCTCATTGTGTCAAAGAATATTTACACAATAGTGCAATTTAAATTAAATAATTCTTAGAACGTTTTGAGAGAAAAGATTTAAAACATTTCTTTACCTCTTCATATCTGTCAAAAACTGCTCCTTCTTGCAAAAAGGAAGGGACTTCCTTCTGCCAGTTAAATTCATAAGGTTTGGCCATGATGAAATTCAAGACCTAAAACTGAAAAAGAATGTAATATTAGTGTATGAAATTAAAAACAAGTGGCCAAGGTTACTTGGTCAAAGGTTAGCTGCTTTGTGTTCATGTGTTTGTAAAACTATTCCTTTCATATATGAAATGAATCCATAAACTGTCTCTTTTCTTCTTCCCTTCATCTGATCCCAACTTTCTTTCTCACTGTCTCTAAACTTGGAAACGCATCATTCACTCCTTCTACACAGTAAAAGAGATCTGCAGAGAACAGACCTGCAGAGAACAGAACTGCAGAACTCTCAATAACCAAAATACGGTGCTAGTATGATTAAAAAACAATGTGCTGAGGGTTGGAGGTGTAGCTTATTGGCTGAGCACAGGTGTGGAGGTCTTGGATTCAATCCGCAGAGTGCCCCAAAAGCTAAATAAATAAGAAAACAACGTGGTGGCCTCCAGGATTTACCAGAGCGCAGAGAAAGATGGCAAAACATCTGTCTTTAGTAGATCTTTAAGTGTTCTCTGATCTTCTTGCCAACTATCCCTTTCAGTTTTTTTTTCTTTCATTTAAAAAATAGCAATATAAAGCATCTGGTTTAAAAAGTTCATATCAAAGATGAAAGAGTGCCTTCTCACCATTTGTATCATCATCTTCTACTGGCTTAACCTTGGCTCTCCAGGACTAATATTAGTATACAGCATGTATGTGATGCTTCTCTGACCTCATGGCTATCCAATTACTAAAATATTCATCTCCCCCTTTGGCACTAATTTCATCAAATGCTTCCGGGGTTGGGGAAGCTAATGGGAGGATATGGGATTTGGAGGATGATGGATGTTGACTGTAATTGCTAACGGAGACCTGCGGTGGAAGTGGAACCTCTCTGTTGCTTGGAGTTCAGAATATGATACCAGGCACCTGGGGAAAATGATGCTGAAGTATCCCACATTTCCTCAATTTTATATTCAGAGGAATGGATTGCCGTTTTTTGTGCTGTCTCTGGACTACTTCCCAGGACATGCCTTAAAGGCAGTGGCTGGCTTATTTTACAAGGATGGTAAAACTGTGACTTACAGATTAGAAAATGTTGATCCAGCCAATTAATTGTATTTAACAACAGTTTGACCCAGGTAATTGTTTTAAAATGGGAACAAAGGAAGGCACATTTTCCTGTCCAACTGACTACAGAGAAAGTCAAGGAGACAAATGGCCACTTGTTTTTAAAGGCATGGAGAGCAGAGCCAGCCACTACACCCTCTTTGCAATCATCTCAAATTCCTACCCCCAGCTAACTGCCTATGAAATGCTAATGCTTTCACTGTGCCAGGCCCAAGGTCTTTCTTCTCAAATTCTCCAGCTTGCCCTGTGGTGAGGTCTCGCTTAGAAGACAGGAGAGATTTCACTGCCTCCTGCCTCCTAGAAGGTACCACCTCATCACACAGATCCTGCAGGAAAAGGAGCTGCTTGCTCCCTGAGGAGGAGATGGTGGGCAGAGGGGAATTTACTCAGCCAAAAAACTGACAGATAACACAGAACCTTCTCCGGTGCAAACACCTTGGGCAGCCCCTGGATGGAGGCCAGCAGGCTTTTAAACAGTCTCATTGTTTCTAGATTCTTATGCAATGCTCTTGGCTCTACAGGGAAACACCCTGGATTACAAAGAGTTTGAAAGGGAGGGGACAAAAAAGGAGGGGAGTCTCAGGTGGCTTTTTCCCTATGATAAGTGACACAAAGCTCCTTCTAAAGATGATGATGAGACATTGGGAGAATTAGTAGAGGAAGCGCAGGAATCCAGCTGGGCTGTTCAGGGTTTTCATCACCCACAAAGAGTGCTTCCCATCAAAATGTTGGCAAACAACATTTTTGTTGTTGTTTCTTGACACAAGCCTCATTTTCTGGTACAGAGTGAACAGAGAGGAGTATGCAAAATCAGGCATATCTGAGGTACTTAGATATGGTACCCTGAAGAATCGTCCCCCAAAATATATCCTGGCTGCTGTGAATGTTGCTATTACCTTACAGGGACAATAAGTACTTTCAGCTGTGATTAAGTTAAACATCTTGAGAAGGGGAGATTGATCTTGAATCATCTAAATGGACCCTAAATAAATCACAAGTGCCCTTATAAAAGGGAGAAAAAGGAGATTGGATAGGGACAGAAGAAGAGGAGGCAGAGAACCACAGAGTCAAAGACAGGAGTAGTAAAAATACAGGTCCAGAGTGTTGGTTGTCACCCAAATGTGGACAAGGCCCAAAATGGATTCTCTCCTAGAGCTTGGAGAGGGCATGGTGATGGAGACACCTTGATTTCCAATTTCTGGCCTCTAGAACTGTGAAAGAATAAATTTCTGTTGTTGCGAGCTTGTAGTTTTTGACAATTTTTAGAGCAGCTCTGGGAAGCATATGAACCGGGCCCACTGAAGATGGACATATTTTCTAAAAGGCCTAGGAAGCTGCCACATCCATTTGGTTTGGAGTTAAGAAAGCTCTAACTTGAAGGGAATAGTCATTTAACATACTTCAATGCTCAACAGAATAAAAAAAGAAGGAAATAAAAGTGCAAGATAAAATGGAATCTAGAAAAGACTTCAAATAACCCTATCCTTCTATTCCAAAACCCCATGGAATAGTTAAGATATTACTTCAAGAGACCCTATCTCAAAATAAAAATAAAAAGGCTTGGCGATGTAGCTCAATGAAAAGGCTTTGGGTTCGATCCTCAGTACTGAAAAAGGAAAAAGATTCATTTCTGCAGTATAACCTTCACTGGGTTGTGAATCTCTTTTAACAACTTGAGATCTCATTGGATTTTTCTGTAACTTCTGCCAAGCCAACCAAGATATTCTGTTTTATTTCTATTTGTGAACAATTTAATTTATTTGAAAAAGCATTTGCTTCTACTTGCTAATAATATATAGCTTTTAAGTGAATAAAAATGTACCGTCATAGGAATTTTATGAAGTGTAACTTCCATTGTTTACCTTCAATCTTTTGACAAAGAAGTTCCATAATAAATTAATCCTTTCCACATCCACCATACAAATCCCATCAAACTAAATAAGCCATAACCTTAAGTGACTCCACAAGAAGGTCAAACAAGATAGTTTGTCAGAGCAGAGAGAATTGGAATAAAATTTCCACTGACTAAAAGTAAGTTAATTGAATCTAACAAATATTTCAATGTCTTGCTTTTCAGTCTTTAAATTCAATATCTTATATTACTAAAAACAGATCAACAGCCTATCATCAGATCATCTAGTGCCTTTAAATAAATGGCTTTACCTCAAGTAGGAGCCTAATTTGACAGTGATATATTGCACCATTAATGATAATTTTCCCCACTTGCTAAAAATAGTTCCATTTTCATCAAGCCATTAAATGACCTTTTCAAAAAGTACATAATGAGTATAGGACTAAGAAAATGATGATCAACGGCCACGGGTAAGGACTTTTTTGGACTTTACTGAGAATTTTGCAATACATTCCTGCAGCCTTGAAAGGTCCAGATTCTGATTTAGTAATTGTACCGGTAGGATTTATCCAAAGTAAGTGCATATAAAGTCAGTGAACAAAGACATTGTTGTGCTGCTTATAATAGAAAAATGAGGACTTCATATGAACATTACTAAGAAATTGGTTAAGCCAGTCTACTATTAAATTCTGTACTCTGGGATCATTAGAAGCAATACTATAAAGGAATAGTTATTAGCTTAACAATAGCAAATTTAGAAGAGTTACTAAACATTCACAGGTTTTGTCAAGCAAATACAAATATTCTCAACATGTTGCTAAGCAAACATGAAAGCAATTATGATTCAAATTGTTTTGTGCTACACAGATATAGATATTGCTTATACGCACAGGCATATTCTTATTTTTTTACAGGAGAACAAGACTAGTAAGACATCATAACATAGTAATTTGGTGATGGGAGTTTAGGTGGTTTTTATTTTCTTTAATAAATTTCCATATTTTAAAATGCAGAAAATTGCAATGACCATAATTTTTATATTCAGTAAAAATATCCTCCAAAATATTAGGAAAATGAAATTAAAACTTATTCCTTTTCATAAAAACCAGTTTTTAAATTATGTCTATGTTTTCCACTAGAATTCCTGGCAAGAACAAATAGCAGGAAGAGACTAATAAAGCTGTAAAATGTTATCTTTCCTCTTGCAGAATTTAAAACCTTGACTTTACATTGGGATTCTTCACAAGCACCACTTATGACTAATTCTTCCTCACTTCTTGGTGAGAAGTTTCTTAGTACTGATTAAAACTTGCATATTAACTCCAAAACCTCTTCTATTCTTATATTTGGAAATAAAACTGGTTATGGTAGTGCCTGAATTTATCTTCTGTCAATTTTGAACTACAAGAAACCTATGGCCTTAGGAAGCACCACCTGATTCAAAATAATTTCCCAGAGTTTATTAAAACATACAAAGCACACAACTATAGTTAGCAGACATCCATTATGTGTCTCTGTCTCTCCCACCTCAATAGTCATTGTGATTGAGGCAATTGTAACTTTCTTTAAATCTAGTAATTTTTAAAAATTGATGAATAATAATATTTAAAATAATTGCTTTTATAAATTTATGATGTGATATTTATGATCATATCAAAGGCTTCATTTTATCAGGCTTTTACAAAACATGCATAAAACAAGCTTAGATATCAGGTATTTTGGGAATCAGCTTCAACTGAACAAAATGAATAACTGCACATACTGTACAGATGAAAAATATGTTAATGTTCCTCATTCATCACAAAGTTTGTGGCTGACACCCCTATAAGCGAAGACAGATTGTATTTAAAGCATAACAAGCTATTTAATAAATTTTATGTGACATGGGAAGATGCTAGAAATGAAGCCTAAAGAAATGGGAAAAACTTAAGCATTTGTACATTATTTAGCCTTGAAGTAGGAGAAGGAACAGTTTGGTAGAAGCCAAGCTAGACAACAGGGGTGAGATCTCATGGTAACATTAGGGAGACTTGGCAGAGCCTGTTTGTTCCTCTGGAA